TTAGAAGCAAAGATGGTATTTATGCCACATCAGGACTAAAATGAACCACAGTCTTACATTTAGTAGGTTTTTTTAAAAGTTAAATTAAAAACATTTCTAGCATTTCTTCCCTCGAAAATATTCCTTGTTCTTTGTTTGGACATAGGCTGAAAAGTATGTTTCCACAGCTGCAGGTAAAAATAGCAACAACAACAACAACAACTCATTGTCAGTTTTGAGCCCCACAAATGATTGTTTTTTTTCCATGGGATTGAGCGTTTACCTATTAGAAAATGTTCTAGCACTGAGCTAAACCCCCAGAGTCATAGTTTTAAAGCTGCTGTCTGGACCTGGAAGCCTGGAGTCATCCTGGTTAATACACAGTGAGAGTCAGGTGGCCTCCTGTAGTCACTGACTTAGCTAAAGGGGCGTCAGTATTGGTTGTTGCTTTAGAAATGTTAGCAAGGAGTTTCTTATAACTCAAAATGTTTTTCTTAATTACTTTATAGTTCACACAATTGAACATCTTTTGGTTGGGGGACAGTTGAAATTTATTCTCTTTTTGGAGAGTAATAACATTTGACATTTGTTTAGATGAAGCAACTGAAGTTTGGAGATAAACTTTTTTTGTGTTTGTATATTATAGATGATGTCAGTGTCATTAACTGGAAACAAGACTCTATGGTATGGACTGGCTAAGTGGTAGAGAGCACTTGTCTAGCATGTGGGAGCCCAGGGTTCAGTTTCCAGCACCACAAAAATGAGCAAACAAAGAGCCATTGCCACTACAACAAAACACCTGCCTTCTAGTGTCTGGAAACGAAGGCCCCTTGCACATTTCTTTTGCCTGGATTGAAAGATTCACTGCTGGAAAGCCCTGGAAAACAGAGGGCAAAATAAATTCTGTAATAGTTTTCAGGATTTACAGTAAACAAGAATATCTTGGGAAGGTTTATGATAGCTGGTGTGTAGGTGATCATAAGTCTCAGTGATTTTTAAATAACTATTTTGAGTTATTGTTTGAGTTTTAGTCTGTTTTCTGTTACCAATAACATTATAACACAGACTGAATTTATAAATAAGGCAACGATATTTGAGCTCAGGGTCTGGAGGTTAAAGGTCAGTGAGCCACATCTATGGATGTCCTGTCTCTTTTTCTCTTCCAGAGTGTGTGTGTATATGTGTGTGTGTGTGTGTGTGTGTGTGTGTGTGTGAGAGAGAGAGAGAGAGAGAAACACTCCCATACTCCACACAGACACACACAGACACACAGACACACACACACACACACACACACACACACAGACAACAGAGAAATAGATGGGAGAGATACCACGAGACAGAGAGACAGAGATATACACAGATAGACAAGCAGGCAGAGAGAGGACTTTTGGGGTTGTCTGCCTCTTATAAAGCTACCAGGATTCAGTGATGGGGCTCCATGGTAACAACTTAACTTCATCCCGATCATCTCCCAGAGGTGTTCCTGGTAAACACCACAGTGGGATTAACTTTCCACCTTCTTTTTACCTCTCCCGAGGGTTAAATCCCAGTACATGCAGCCTTGAGGGAAGCATCAAACTGTAGCTAAACGTAACACTCCCATACTAAAGAGTTCACCCAATAGAACTCTTAGTTCTATTAGTTGTTTTTAATCCACTCACAGAGTTGTGCTGCCATCACAACCAATTTCAGAATACTTCCATCACCACAGAAAGAAACCTAATACTTCTCAGGGATCCTCCATTTCTCTTCAAATTCATTAGCCCTAGACAACCCAAATCTCTCCTGTATCTCTAGATGGACTCTTGCTAGACACGTCATGTGAACAGAATTATACAATATGTGGTCTTTTGTGCCTTAATTTCTTTGATGTACAATGTGATTTCAATACAGATTGTGTCAAATGTATAGATCAAACTGGAGGATCTTGCTTTGTTAACACATTAATTCTTCTACCTTTGAACCCGAGTCTTTGAGGAGCTTATTTATGATGTAGGCTTTTTAGTTTGAAGACGTAAGTTTGCTTTTAAAAAAAGATTCCTTCCCAAGTGTCTTATTGTTTTCTTCATGTTTCTGTAAATGGAATTGATTTTTAATTTAATTTTTGGTCTGATTTTTTTTCTGATCTATAGACATTTAGCTGACTTTCTAACACTGAATCTGTGTATGTTAACATTGTGTAGGTCTGACAGCATGTGAACAAAGCCACTTAAGGAAAGAAGAGTTCATTTTGGCTCATGGTTTCATTGAGTTCCTTCCATTGTCCTTTGGCTCTGTTTCTGAGCTCGTGGTAAGAGAATAAGTATATCATGGTAGGAGGAGTGTTTTGTAGAAGCTGCTCGTCTTGGAAACCAGGAATCGGAGAAAAAGACCCAGGGATAAGCTCTAATCTTTAAACTCACAGTCCAGTGACAACTTTGGGAGATGGTGGAAATGCTAGATGATGGAGCCGAGGTAGGCAAAGTAGGTTCTAAAATAGGAGCTCACAGAGGACATCTGCTCCTTGTCTGTAGTACTTGGTAACATAATCACACTCAATTCTGAATCACACTCAATTCTGACACTTGCTTAAACCTTCGTTTGGGTCTTCTCTTTATGAAGTGGTATCATCTGCAAATGGAAATCATTTCACTTATCTAATCTGATTATTTTTGTTTTTAGTTATGTGTGTATGTGTGGGTGTGTACATAGAATGCAGGTACCTGAGGAGTTGTATTCCCTAGAGTTGGAGTACAGGCTGGTGTGCGCCACCCCTCACTGAGAACTGAACTTGTGTCTTCTGGAAGAACAGTATACACTCTAAGTACAATCTCTCTAGCCATCTGTCCCAAATGTCTTTTATTTTACTATGCCAGTCCAATGTATATAGCCCCTGGTAGAACAACAGTACAGTGCACATCCTCATTTTCTTCCAGACCTTTGGGAGAAGACATTTAGTTGTCATTTTTTTAACTCTTTTTTTTATTATTATTGGATATTTTATTTACATTTTAGATGTTCTCCCCTTATCCTATTTCCCCCCTCCCACCCAGGAACCTCCTATCCCATCCCTCCTCCTCTGCTTCTATGAGGATGTGCCCCCATCTACCCCCAACTCCCACCTTCCCACCCTCGAATTCCCCCACACATGGCTTCCAGCCTTCATGGGACCTGCTGGAGAGATGGCTCAGCAGTTCAGATTCCTCAATCTATTCCTCCTCCCCACTGTCTCCAAGACGGTGCTCCCCTCCCACTAGGCCTCCCCACTCCCTGGGGCCTCAAGTCTCTCGAGGATTAGGCATGTCTTCTCCCACTGAAGCCAAACCAGACAGTCCTCTGGTGTATTTGTGTTGGGGACCTAGGACCAGCCTGTGTGTGCTGCCTGGTTGGAAGCTCAGTCTCTGGGAGCTCCCAGGGATCCGGGCTAGCTCTTCTAGCCCCACCATGTTTACTTTTGAATACATTTGCACTTTTGGATTGTTTTGTAATGTCAACATATGTTGGAGACACCCCGTGTAAGCTGGAGATGCCTGGACCCCGATGACAAGGAAGAAAAACCTGCCAGGGGTACTGTGTTTCAGAGTGCGAGGCAGTGGCCTCATGTGGGTCCCAGTATGAGTACTGAGAGGCCCCAAGGCCTGCTTCTTTGGTGCAAGCACCTCGTGATATCATTTCTGCAATTATTCTTAGTACTTATCATTCTTTTTATCTATTTACTGTTTCTTCTCTTTCTTCCTTCATTGATTAAACCGATACTTGATGACCTGACAAGACCTAGTAGGAGCCCGCTACTAGGTATCTAGAAACTAGATTTTACCAATAATATTAAAGTGAAGGCTTTTCATGAATTCAAAAGAAATAAATGTATGTTATAATCATTCACTTGAGGTGGAAATGAAAGTAACTGAGAGCCATGGGCAGAGATGAGTAAATCTGCAGCTGTTCCCCCAGTCTGTATAGTAAAAACAGGACATTTTTATTATAAAACTGAGGATGGAATAACATACAGATATTTCCCAGAAAGTTAGCAATGGCTTCCTTGGGTTCAGGGATGATGGTGGCAGCCCCCTAGGAGTTCTCTATACAGGTCAAGTGAGGATGTTTTTGTAGACAGATGGATGGGGTCCTGGATGTTTGACCCAGATTGGAAATCCAAAGACTGCAGGGGCAGCAGTATGACCTCATGCTTGTCCTTTTATGAAACCATGATGTTTCGCACATGTGAGATACTGACTTTGTAATCACAATATTGCTGCCCTCCGACCTCACCAGAGACTGATGGTTGGGAGATATAAAAAAATTGTGCTTTCTCTAAAACTTTTATGTTTGAGATTGTATAGTTCCCTTTTTTTGTGTGTGTTCTAAGTCTGTACTACTCTGTGTCATAAGAAAATGTTGGCACAGGAAAATAGAGAAGCATTTACCCATCCCCCTATGAACTTTGTAATTCCAACTTCCTTGTATGATTTCAATAAAAGACTGGGGCTGAGTTAAGTCTAAGTGAGCACCCTGACTCCCAAGTTCAAGGACTCCCATGTCAAACAAAACAAAACAAACCTAGCCTGTCAGTATTGTATCTCAATTGTGTGTCTTCTTATTGGCCTACCTAATCCTTGATGAGCCCCAACTCTTGTCGAGGCTGGACCCTGGCAAACATAATCAGTTAATTTCCCAAATTCTGTTATCTAACTTTGAAATGCAATTTGTATTTTGTAACTCATTGCCAACAACAAAAACATACACTTGGAATATGTGTTGATGTCATGTTAATCTGATTAAAAAATAATTGCAGGATTTAAATAAATGTATGAATTGATATTAGTAATTTGATGTCCTTTATTTTATGTTGTATTTCCTCTGGAAACAATTTTGATGAATTATATGCCTGCTCAACTTTGTTCACAATGAAGAAAATCACTTCCAAATTTGAGATATAAAGCAGTATTCCAAGTTAAACAAACAAAAAAATTCAGTGGACCATACTTTTGATTTGAGGATGAACTTCCTTCTAACTGACTTATGTCTATGTTCACAGATATGTGCTGACTAGCAGGCTCACGTGCACAGTGTGGAGGACAAGCTGTATCATACAAAATGGGATTTGGGAGTGACCTAAAGAACTCACAGGAAGCTGTGTTAAAGTTGCAAGACTGGGAACTACGGTTACTGGAGACAGTGAAGAAATTTATGGCTCTGAGAATAAAAAGCGATAAAGAATATGCATATACTCTGCAGAATCTTTGTAACCAAGTTGATAAAGAAAGCGCCGTGCAAGTGAATTATGTCAGCAATGTGTCCAAGGTAAGACGGATTCCAGTTGTCTTGTATAGCATCATATTTGTCCTTAGAACAAATAGATCATATTATTGAATGAGCATACCAATGGCAACTTGCTATGTTTTACATTTTCTTAATACTGTCTCATCTGCATCCTCTAAAGGATCTTTCTGTGTGTGGTGTATGCACGTATGCACAGATAGGTACGTCTGCAGATGCATGCACCTGAGCACTGCATGTGGAGGCTGGAGGAGAATGGTGGAGTTTTGTATAGCTTTCCAGCTTAGTCCCTGAGTTAGGGAACTTGTTTAGGTTTGGGCTTAGCCTAACCACTAGGCTCTCTGGGCAGCAAGCTCCTGGGATCCACCTGATTCTGCCTCCAAGTACTGGGATTACAGCCACATGCAGTCAAGTCTGCCTAGTTTATGTGGGTGGTAGGGATTTAGACTCAGATTACAGCTGACACTTTTACCCACTGGAACATCATCCAAGGCCTGTGTCCTGTAAAATTTTATGTGCTTACTTTAGTATCCTTTCTGTTCAGAATATATTTTAATGTGGTTATTTAATATTATTATAGTTAAATTTATTATTTGACCATTTATTTGTTTTTTTCTTTGTTTTATCTTCCTTTAATTATTATCATTTACTTACCACCTTTAATTGAGATTTTCTTAAAATTAATTAATTAAAAATTTGAAGCAAGGTCTACATAACCTTGGCTGTCCTGAAACTCATTCTCTTTGAAGTCTGCAGTAGACAGAACTTGGGAGGGCTAAAGTCATTTTTAATCTCTATAATTTTCCCAACCCTGGGGTGAAGCATATAATCATGAGGTGAAAGAAAGAGGTAGTTTTGTCAAGAACAAAATGATAAAGGAATGGTACATAACCCAGGGACCCTCAGCTAGGGTGCTAAGAACATAGTAGAGAAAGGCCAGTTTCTTAAGTTGAAGTGACAGGAAAACCACATAGCCACGTACTGAAGAATGAAAAGCAAATATTACTCGTCAGTTAAGGCTCACAATGAACTAAAGACAAATGTGGTTTCTCACCTAGCTTTGATTTCTCTGATGGTTGTGTTGTACAGGTCCCATGTTAAAGGAGTACCTTGTTAACACATCTTGTTAGTCACTCCTTTCTGTGTCTTCTGTGTTTCTATTCAGTATGCTCTTTCTCTTTTCCTCGATGTAGAGGATGTAGTCATAGCAGCTGTTCTATCATGTGTTCTACTTTGTTTCATTCCTGTCCTCCCCTCCATGGTGCTGGGGATCAGACCTAGGGTTTTGTGTAGGCAAGCATGCTGCCACTGAGCTGACCCCCTTCACCCCAGCCTTTTCTGGGTTAGCTCTTCTTGTCCTTGGTTTGCTTTCAGCATCATGGACTTTTCTTTTGAGCTTGTTGGATGTGTTTGTATTTCTTTATATATTCTGAGCTTTGCTTTGGGATGTGGCTCAACCCCTTGCAGACAGTTTGATCCTCTTGCCTTTGCTTTTACATTTGTTAGGTCCGACTACAGAGTAATTGAATTTCTGATCATGTTATCTTCTCTACCTTAGCAACATCTTTCCTGACATTCAGAAGGGTCCAGTTATTATAAAGATGTGACTTCTGACTTTGGGGCACTGCCATGCATTGTGAGCTCTTGGAGAGTCTCTTGCAGTCTGTTTTGGTGTGGTTGCTTTCTGGGTTTTACTAGTTTCCTCACACATGCAAGCTGTCCAGTACTCACCTTTATAATTGAAGGGGAGTCTGTAGGTTTCCAGAATTTTCTCTGTGTGTTTTTCTCTCTTTCATAATGCTTTGTCCCTGTTCTTTCCTAGGGGACCATGAATTCTGCTGGTCCACTGAGTATTTTGGCCCCTTTGTGTTCTGAAGTCACTCTTCTCAACAGGACATTACTCAGGTTTTGCTTAATTGTGATCTAGACATTTTTTTTTTTTAACCTAGTCAGCCTTGGTAGTGTTAAGACTTAGATCATGATTTATTATCTATAAGGGATCATTGTTTCATTTACTGATAACTAGTGTCTTTAGGGTGGTATTATTTTATATATTTTTATCTAGGTATTTTAGGTAACTGGAAAAATTAATACTTCTCCATAGTCACAGGGAATGTAACAGTTTATGAGTTAGTTAAGAATATATTATGTCTCTTTATTCCAAAATATTTGTGCGTGTGTTTTCTAAGATTATATCTTCTATATGATGAATCAAGTTATAATAGTTTGGTTATCTTACATATTTTTATTATTTTTTTTAGTTACATTACATACTATTGTTAAAGATGAATTTCTTGGGCTGTGGGATGGCTCAGTGGCTAAAAGTACTTGCAGTGTAGGCCTAACGGCCTATATTGTTAGATCAGTCCCAAGATCCCATGTAAAGAGCTGAGTGTGGTGGTGTGCATCTATAGTCTGCAGTGAGGTGGGAGGCAGAGGTGTGGAATTGCCTGGATGCAGACAGCCTGGAGTGCAAGGCAGAAGCAAGGAAACACTGCCTCAGTGAGGTGGGGAGGAGGGGGCCAGCTCCTTAGGGTCATCCTCTGATCCCCACATACTCACTTCAATAATCAAACATGACACCTTGCCCTGACTAGATAGCCAGCTTACCCAGCAGTCCTGATTCTACCCCATCAGTGTTGACATCACAGGCCAGAATCCACAGCTCCTGGCTTTTATGTGGACTCTGGGAATCTGAATTACAGCTGTCTCCAGGCCTGTGTGGTAAGAGCTATCTCCTAACCTTCACATCTTGTTTGCTGTTCCAATAATTCAGTCATTTCATTTAGCTTTCATCTTTTCAATGAACTTTCATTTCACACTTAAACATGAGATACAGTGTTCCATTATTTAATTATTTTCAGCTTTACCTAAAGTTGTTTTTGAAGTGTGTATATACTGTCTATTCCCAAGAGCACAGTTTTGTATGGCTCGCGTTTTCATTTGTTTTGCTTTTGATGGACTGTAGATGGCTGGAGGTGGCGGCCTAAGCAGCCATCTCTGCTTGCAGCTGTTGGTTCTGCTTTAGCACTGCTATATGTTGTAGTACAACTAGAACCCCCAGGGTTGTCTGGAGCGCTCCTGTCTCCCACCCTGAACTAGACTTTTCCTTGAGAGGCCAATTTTCTTTGGAAGAGATATTTTAGCATAAAACCAGTTTAGAACCTCTACAGAGTTTTGTAGTTATAAATAATGTCATAAAAGTGCTATTATACAGAGACATTTTTGTGTATTCATGAGTGTATATATGGTAAATTCATAGACATGGGCTTTCTAGGTCAAAATATGAGTGTATGTGTAGTTTCATTATATATTGCCAGTATAAATATAAATTTCCCTATAGATCTTGTGCCATTTTGCATATTTACCAGATCTGTATGAGCCTGTCAGTTTCTAACACTCACACTTTTAAGTTTTTGTGATGTAATGAATACTATATAGTATCTATTATTGTCTTATTTATTTCTCTAAAAGCGAGCATAATGAACTACCTTTTCCATGTATATTAGAGCTATTTTTGAAAAATATTTATTTTTTTTATGTGTATATGTGTGTGTATATGTTTCCTCTGTGTGTGTGTGTGTGTGTGTGTGTGTGTGTGTGTGTGTGTATACACGTGTATGCAGGTACCCACAGTGTTCAGAAGTAGGTTGGGTCCTTTGGGACTGGAGTTACAGTTGTTTGTGAGCCACTTGCAGTGGGTACTGGCAGCCAAAATGTGGTCTTCTGTTAGAGTAGCAAGAACCCTTACCCACTGAGCACTTTCTTTAGCTACTGTGGCCATTTTATTTACTTCTTTTGTTTTACTCTGTACAGTAGATCATTTTTACTTTGTGTTTTATTGTTCATTAAAATTATAACTGTCCAAGTATATTCATCACTGTTTCTCCACATTATAGTGATACAAGAAATCCTCAATAACAATTTATTTGAAAGGAGATATTGATTAACCCTTTAAACACAAAATATATTGAAATATTAGCAGTATTCATATACTACATTGAAAAATGTTTTTGATGATCTGGAGTTAATATTTAATAGCCATATACTATGTTGTATGTGAAATTATGTATAATTATATATATTATGTTTTATATAATACTATATAATTTATATAATTCTCAGGATGTAGAGTTAGTTCTTATTTAATATTTTATTTAAAATGTGAATTTGTTATAACCCAAGTGATATATAAGGAACGAGTGAGCCTTATGTGTGTTTCTTCATATGGCAGTGGAGGAAGCACTTGGTGAGTACATGAATGGTACCCTGTTCAACTCAGTTGCTTAGGAATACATTTGAGATGAGCACTGCAGTCCTTTGCTGGCTGCCATTGCTTAGTCCTTCATTGTGAGCCAACCTCACCTGCATGTGCTGCTGTAGCTTGGTCTCCTGCTTTAGATAGCCTCTTCTCCTACTTCTAGGAACCCACAGGGTACAACCCTCTTGCCTTAATAGGCATGTTTCTAGTCATTCCGAGATAAAATGCCATGTGTATTTCTTAATCAATATATGTGAAGTTGGATAAAGTTGCTGTAAATCCTCAATGTATCCCTGATTAATGTTTTGAATGCTCTGCACCTAACACATCTATAAACCCTGTGACCTTTAGCATATAATTGGTACAATGAAGAGACTGTTAGTGAGACAAATACTTTGTTACACCAGAACGTGTGCAGTGGAATTACTTAGGGAGTTTTAAAGTACTGACCCTATGCTCTGTGTGAGAAGCATGCTCCATCAGGGTTTCTGGTCATAGAATGCCCAAACTGATATTTCTAAAAGACTCAATTATTTCAGATTGCAGCAAGGTTAGAGATGGGTTGGAGCAACCAAGATTTGAAGAAAATGTAGAGAAGTTTTGATGAGTGGGGCACATCTAAAGATTTCTTTGTCCTTGGAGTTGACTCTTTGAAAACTCTGTTTTATGGAGATTCAATGAGTTGTTTTCTGGATTTCTGTATCCCCTAAGGACTTAGAGACTCCAGCATTTCCCTTATCTAATAGGCAAACTCAAATAAAAA